TTTTTTAAGTATGTGTGCTCTAAAACAGTGATACTGATGCAGAGAGAGGCTGACACACAACAACCTGTGTTAGTTTTTAAAGACAAATATTGTATATTCATATGCCTGGAATAAGCTGGTGTAGGAAATACTAACCTTTCAACCTACTCTTCAGACATCTTGGAAGCAAGACTCTGTACATAATATGGATCACATACACATTAAACCTTATGGAAGCTGCTCAGACATGGAAACTCATGCCGTGAAGCTCCCAGTGCACAGTTCTCATGCTGATGTTAATGCCAGATGAATCATTGTTGCAACAATGCCATCCTAATCATAACAATACTAATAATAAAAACAATAATCAGTTCTTTCACAGATGTTTGTAAAGGCAGATTGAATGACTGGGTGCTTGATGTTTTATACCTGTTGCAATGGGACAGAAAATACCTGAATTCAAAGATTAACAGGTGTGGCTCAGTAATTTTGTCTAATCTATAGTTTTCTAGATAAAATTATGATTTACATAATCCATTTGAAATATGATTCTGAAAGTAAATATATTATCTCCCTGAATTAGCTGGTCTTCTGTATGGCAGAGGGATCTATTTCCTGGGTAAGGACTGAAGGAACAAAGCTTGGTTTTCCAATCCGTATTTTATTGGATCCAGTTAGATTTAACATACAATCATGATCTTTAAAATGGAATGCTGATTTCAGTGCAAATAAATGGAAAAATTAATTGCAAATCTCTTCTATATTTTGACCTATATGTTATCAAGAATAATAAAAATAGTGTTTATTCTTTTAATTTTAAATTGATATCAGTTCAACTCAGTCAGGAGCACAGACTGAAAAAAGTACCATCAACAAAGCATCTGGTTGAACATCTCACAACAAGTTAACTGAGAGCAGGTCAGTAACATGATGTGGAGCGTCCCGGAACGTCGTCCTAGAAGTGTCTGTAGGGTGGGAAAACTCTGTGAAAGACTGATAGGACAAACAGTTCAAACAGTTTATCAATGTCAAAATGCAGAGGTATATAGAATCATTTCAGGAAATTCAGAGAAATCCTGCAAGCACGGTGTGCAACAGATAACCTAACATTAGAGGGAAATCATTCACAGGTGGATGCAATAGCTATCATACACGTTTGACAATGTGGAAGTCAACCATAGAAGTTCCATCCATTCGCTTACGTTTATCCTTTTCATGGGGGTGCTGGAGCCTATCCCAGCCATCTTTGGCAAGAGGCAGTGTACACCCTGAACAGGTCGCCATACTGTCGCAGGGCTAACACATATACACAAGCATTCACATCTATGGGCAATTTAGAGTTTCCAATTAACCTATCCCCACTAACTGCATGTCTTTGGACTGTGGGGGGAAGCCGAAGTACCCATGGAGAACCCACGCAAACACGGGGAGAACATACAAACTCCACACAGAAAGACCCTGCCCTGATGGTGGAACTGAACTCAGGACCTTCTTGCTGTGAGGCAACAGTGCTAACCGCCGTGCCACCCAACCGTAGAAGCTTTTATTACTTAATATTACAAGTAATGTTATGTGTTTTAGTCAAATACACTTCACACTGGTTATCCAGTTCTCAAGTACAGCTCCAAAAACCTTATTGTTTTTGTTGACTGAGATTTTGTAACAGGTTATCTGCTTTTCAGAAGGTCGTTGGTTTGTTCCCCAGCTCCAGCAACCCTATGCTGAGGTGTCCTTGGTCAAGGTACTCAAACCCAGTTACCCTCTAATGGATCAACGCATTCAAAAGTGTCTGTGGATGCAGCTTGCAGTGTAAAAAGTGCTCTGAGTGATAGATGAGATTAAAAATGTGTTAAAAAATAAAATCCATTTATCATGAGCTAAACTATTAGAGCGTAGGACACAGAGAACATTTACAACTCACTGGTCTCAGGATCACCTCAGAAAACAGATGTAAGTGTTCAGTTAATTACAAACCCAAGTTGAGACTCTCGTCATGTAAAGAAAAATATGACAAAGGAGGCCCTAAACTATTGGTGTGAAATTCAACGTATATTAAAAAAGAAGAAGATATAACTGTTTTCATATTTACACTAGTATATTAAACAATTTCCAAATCATCTTTCTGTGCATTAATGAAAGAAAGGCATGTTGTACACTAATGAACAGAAAAAGTCACTGCGATGTTGGACTCCAGAGACTCAAAGTCAAAAATATTTAATCACAGATGACGGATAAGCCGAAGCGAATCGGTACACTATTTAACCTTTTTCCTGGCCTGTATGCTCAGATGGGCTCTAACATATTTTCCCCGTCACCACCTGCAGCAGCATGTGAAATGGACATGATTCATTGCTCACTAAATGTAACAACATCAGCTGTTGTATCTCGCCGGCAGGCATATGGCGGGCTATAGCAGCAGGCGGGACTTGGACGGAGATATGGTAGTGATGCATAAGGCTAAAACAGGTAGAATGATGGGAGGTGTGCATGAGGCTAGCACACGCAACAGAAGAGGAATTGAAGCAGACAAACTGCTTTGGTCATTTGTGACTTTGTTTCTTTTTGGGTTTAGATAACTTTAAAACTACAATTCCCAGGAGACTCTGCAGTAGTTGCTGAATGTGAGATGGCTCAATGCCACTGTTTTAAGTTGCTGGATGTTCCATCAGTTTTATTAAAAGCCTCCTAGCAGCACAGTTCAAGTGCACGGAGAGTAATAGTCATTAGACAGGCTCAGTTCTATGTCTTTAACACTGATGGGATTTACATGTCTATTTTAGTGTGGAAAGGTTCCGGCTATTAGTTAGTGAGCCAACGATAAATAAAGACTTTTACTTCTAAGCCCTGCTAAAGCCTAGATGAACTCTCCCTGCTGAACAGCTCTGTTAGAATGACAGAGGGTTTTTTTTGTCACATTTTTTCTTTGTTTTCCTAATTTAATGTCCAGAAGAAAGGATAACACAAAGGCTTTGGCTAAAGGTGCAGGAGAGCGTGATGCTAATGCTCCTGAAGATCAGACAGGGACCGTAACAATGCTAAAGCTATAGGGAACGGCAGTACACACATCTATGCTTTTTCCCCCAGATATTTATGGTTATGCTGAGTTCCACAAGGCAAAGTTTCAGAATCCTAACTTTAGTGTAACCCGTGGACGCGATTGGGTTTGTCTTGCATTCATCTTTCGGCAGGACCTCTCCAAGGCTTATAAATGCATTTCTATTAAATTGGGCTGAGCAGACAGGCTTCATTGCCAAAGAGCACTTGATTCGATTTCAGGGGGTGTTCTGGATCTCGGATTTCCGCCATCAGATGGTAATCCTTTTTTTAGCCATAACAAAGATAAAGACTTGACTCTAAATCCTTAGGGTGTGTTTGCAGTTCGAGGTTGTGTGAGAGCAGAGCGGAGTGTTTCCACGTGTGTTTTGGCGTGCCCATCCCCCAATCACGCACACGGATTTCCAATCTCACATTAAACCACAGTTTCTCTTGCAGTTCACCTTTTATTAGTTTGTAATTTGGGGTTTTGTGCTCTTTTATTAAACGTCTCAAGATGCTGATTTTTTTGTCCTTCTTGTTTGAGAAAAAGCAGTGAACAAATTAATTTTAAAAAAGGGGGAGAAAGAAAAACATAGTAAATTTCCTCCTATCTTGCTTATTTGATTTGTCTTCCCAGAGCTGCCACAGTGTGGTGCCCACTTGGAGACAGCGTGGCTCGTTTCCCAGCAAGTGGTTTCCATGGCGACGGGTAGCCACGTAGTCATGGCGGCCGTTCAGGCCAGGGCGGTGGCTGTAGGGAGGCGAGGGGTGGAGTGGGGTGGGGTGTGTAGATGGCAGACTATTAATAGAGCTTATGGGGAGCCAGCTGCAGAAAGCCTCAGCCTCATGGCACCTCGTCAGACATCCAGTCACACACGTTTTGGTCTGTGTTTTTGAGAGTGTAGAAGTGTGCATTGCCCTGTATGTGTTTGTGTGTGGTCAGCCTGTGTACCGTGTGTGAGTAGCACACTGGAAGACACTGCAGTATGCTTGTTTCTGTCTCTTGGATTTACGTCAACATCTTTGTGACATCACTGTTGGTACCGTTGAGCAAATATGGTCAAACTTACTGAAGAAGACCAAGCGTAACTTTTTGTAGGCGTTGCAAACATTACCCAAATAACTTCAATAAGTGTGTACATTTGCTTTTGTAAAAGTCGCTTACTGTATTAAAAAAAATGCTATTTTGCAGTTTAAATCATTTTCAAATTGTCCTAACAAGCCAAAGCGATAACATGTCAGATTAGTGTCACGATGATTAGTCTAGGGCCACTGCAGATTCCACAAAATTTAATTAAAATCTGTAATGTACGCTTTATTTCTGCAATTACCATGTTCGAGTGTGCATGTCTGTGGGAATGAAATGGCTGAAATGTATCACAGAAATAAAGTGATTGTGAAATGGTATGTCTGCTAACTTTAAATATGGTTAAAGCGGCGTAAATATTGTTTTTCCTGATACTTGAGTGCCACTTTTGGGTCATCGGTTGGACTGAACAAAGTCTAAATGAACAGAATCAACTTCCTGGGATTTCCTTACCTCGATGACTGAGCATGACCAACTCAGTTCCTTGGGTTTGAATCCTGCCTAGGACCTTTAAGTTTGCATGTTCTCCCTGGGTCTGCATGAGTGCTCACTAGCCGCTAGGGCTTCGTTCCAGAGTCCAAAAACACAGGGTTAGGTTAATTGGTGATTCTAGATTGCCCATAGTTATAAATGTGAATGTAAATAGGCTGTCTCTGACTTTTAGCACTGAGGCAAACTAGTGACTTGTGCAGGGTGTACCATGCCCCTCACCTTTAAGATGTGGAATATGCTTCAGTCCCCCCTCGACCATGAATTTCAATGCAGAAGAAAATGGATGGATAAAACGTGTTATCCATTTTGCTATATAAACTTGTAAGTCGACATTTGGAAATTCTACTTCAGCCAATAGTTCCTACTCCTAATCATCTCCTTTCCCTCTCTGTCCTCTACTGTATAGGTATTGCCTCTATGACAGTTCCCGTGTACATCGCTGAGGCCTCTCCACCCCACCTAAGGGGTCAGCTAGTCACCGTTAACACCCTCTTCATCACGGGGGGGCAGTTCACAGCCAGCCTCATCGACGGAGCCTTCAGCTATCTGCGCCATGACGGTTGGAGGTCAGACACACACTGATGAACTTTTCACATACACCTTTCACCCCCAGTGGTTATCGAACTATCGTTTGAAACACTCGACATTCACAAGTTGTCAGCCAATAATAACGGTCATTCCTGAAACTCAGTCCAAGGTCAGTTTTCCCAGTTTTCCCCTACTTTTCCAATCATTCTAGTGGCCATTTAAAAAAAAAATACAGGGTTAAGGAATTCACTCTTCAAACCCCAAAGCTACATCCAAGCTCCACCTTTCACTGCACGCAAAATGTGTTATAGCACCTTCCACACCGCAATTTGTATCTCAACAGAAAAAAGAATACAGAAGCAGAACTTTTACACTTCTCACAAGATGTAAACGGCGCCGCCTTCGTTAATGATAGTCATATAATCAGATGTGATAGCATCGTCTCTTTTTTGGCTTCTTAGCGTATGAAATGCCAGAAAATCTTTTCATTCCAGCTCAAACCCTCATTCAAAATGTCAACACAAGCACGGGTCAGTCTTTAGCATTTACTGGGAGCAGCTGTGCTGTTTATTGGAGCGATACTCTTGTTTTCTCTTTCTTCTGTTCGCGTCCTTTCCTCGTGTCACGCTGAATGCAGCTTCGCGGTCTTCTGAGTCTTTGAGCGGCGAGCTGCGAGATACTGTTGATAAGAATTGGCCGTTTTGAAAGGATTTGCCTCGGCTGCAGTTCTGATAGACACGAAGGAGATTGTTCGGCGAGCCTTAGATTTGTGTGATTCATAATGATAATGGAAAACTGATTGAGTTAAGATTACAAATGTTCTCAGATTGATGTCGTTGCCTTCGCAGAAGAAGAAAAACCTTGTACTTCTGGCTGTTTCCTGCAGTCTCTAGCAATTTGTCATTATTACAGCCTCCTTTTACCCTTTTACTTTTCTTATATCCTCCTATTCTTTGCCTTACTGGCACATAACATGTTATGCTTGCAGAGCAATCCTGCAGTTTTTTACACTTCAGTGCAGCATAGTGTGCCTTTGCTAGGGTAAACTAATTATGCAGTGATATTAGACAGTGACGCTTTATTGTTTTGATTTTCTTTCTCAAGCAAGGCTTCTAGCAAGTGGAACTTTATCTCTAATGTGCAGCGATTAATCTAAATGCTTAATCTACATGTTAAGGTTATTTTAAGCAGAGGAATCTGAAAAAAGCCTTGACATTTTCCCCAGTGTTTAATTTTAATGAAGTCAACCACGTGTTGCTAGCTGAACTTGTCAGCATAAAGTGAATGCAGGGGAGCGTTGCTGAAACCTGATTGTTCTTGCATATGCAGTTGAATTTTGCACATCAAACCTTTTCAACCTTTCAAACCCTTCATTAGTCAAAAGCTAACAAACAAACAAAACTAAAAACAGCATTTCTGTGATCATAATTAGTCTCACTCCATGTGTTCCTTCTCTCCTCTTGCAGGTACATGTTGGGTCTGTCTGTGCTCCCCGCTGTGCTCCAGTTCATGGGATTCCTCTTCCTGCCAGAGAGCCCTCGCTGGTTAATTCAGCGTGGGCTGACCCAGAAGGCCCGCCGCGTGCTCAGTCAGATTCGAGGCAACCAGAACATAGACGAGGAGTACGACAGCATCAAAAACAGCATCGAGGAAGAAGAGAAGGACAGCGGAGGAGGTGAGGGGAGGAGTCTTTTTTCCTGATCCCTGTGTTTCTGCAAAAAAAAACAGCCCGCATGAGCAGCATAATGTTTTTGTCCTCCTTTTGTTGATTAACAAATCAACAAAGCAACATGTTCGGACTGTAACAATGCTCCAGATCCAGTGTGCTTGTACTAGGGAAAGAGAAGAGAAAAAAAATCATGGAAAAAGTATATTTTTACCGCAGGTGTGATTGGATCACCAAAAATAAGCCGCAGTTAAAGGTTAGCTTGCTTTAACTCGCATAAGCAGCATGTTGTTAATTGCTGCGGTTAAAACTGCACACACGCAGTTTCCATAAACACAAAATCTGCCCTTTCATAAAATGATTAAGCACATGCTGTTGTGCATTTCACCACAAAGCCTGGCTCACATACGAACAGTTCAGTGTAGTCGCTGATTTCCATGAAATGTACACTCGTTTCAAAGAGCACCTCACAGCTATGTTAACACCTCACATCTGACAGAGTCACAGCCCAGAGCCTTGAAGGCAGCGTCTTCCTTTCCAATCATTCTAATGTGATCTCAGTGAGCCTGACGTGACTGTTTATGCTCTCCTCCTGCTGCGTGATGAGGTCCTTTTCTGCTTAAAGAACAATAGTTGCCCCGTTGCGTGCCCTTGACTCCTACGGCGCTGGTGGTGACCTGCCAGTCAAACAGCGCGAGCTGTAACGTGGCATTATACATCTGATGATTCTGTTGGCACAATTTGAGTTTCTGAAGGGGGAGTTCTTATCTTTTGTCTGTCCTTGCGTAATGGGGTTTGGTGTTCAAGATCATTTTCATCACTTCCTTTAATAAATTAAATGAATGCTCCATTTTTGACAGTATTTGGAGCGGCTTTGTGCTAAATAAAAAGAACTGGGCGTAGGTTGTCTCTTTTGTTTCAACAGTGCTCTGAAAATGTTACAGATTACTTTTTTTTTTAATTTCGACATCCTGTGCTTCACACTGAGATTATTCAACAGTGCAAATAGAGATCTCAGGTAGAAAGGGAGCTGAAGGGAGACAAGGAAAAGGCAGAGAAAATGCTTCCTTCTTCACGGTCAATTATTGTGTGAGCTGACCTTTGCTCGACCAACCACATCATAAAAGGCTCTGCCGGCATGAGCCGACAATATTGGACTAGGTTGGCAGAATGGGGCCGACTGAGCTTCATTAGCTAATATTTTGGCAATCAATACATTTGCTGAGTTCAATGCCTGTGTGTAATGGACACTCACTGCCTGAACCTGCAAATCATTTTCCCAAAATCTCTTTTTAAATCTTGCTCAAACCGGGCTATGGGTACACAGTCTCTTAATGCATGCATGCGCACGCACAAATACAACAGTGTTTATTCACTTTTATCTCACTGTTTATCTGCACTCTGCTCTTTCTTTCGTTTTTTGGTGAGTGTGTGTGTGTGTGTGTCTGCATGAGAGAGACACAAATGCACCGGAAAAACTCTTGTTGTTTCCCCACAGCAAGAGTAGTCAGTTTCAGTGGCATGCACAAGACTGTTAGTGATGTGGTAAGCCCAGACCATCAAGTGTGCATGAAATTTGATTTGTAGGAACTGCAAAAAAAATGCTGTCCATACAAAATCTCGATTTAGACAAATCTCTACTTTGAATTGGGAAGAAAGAATACCGCTGCTATTACTTGGCAATAAGCTTTACCGTTGATTTTAATGGCCAGATGTAAGACAACAAAGATGGTTGCCGTTGGTTTTATGCCAAGCTTGAGAGCTTTTAAAAAAATAAAAAGCAGCCAGAAGCAGAGCACGGGGTGAGGAGGTGGTTTTAAAGGCTTTTTGTAAAAGTCTTTGAGGTGCGGATGGCACAGAGAGAGAGCCAAGGGTCGACTGAAGGCAGCTTCCCAGACAGACTGCTACCAAAACAGGTTGGCAGTGCGGTAAAGGAGCAAAGAATGACAGTGGCAAGTTTGTGCTGCTGGTGAATAAGACTGGGAATGCACTGGGTGTTTGTCTCTGTGCACAGTTTTATTGTGTCTTTTTGCACAGCTTCAAGTCTTTTGTTTTCGAAATTCACCAGATGCTCCTCTGTCTGACTTCCTGCCCTCCTCATCTGCTCCATGCAGTATGAGGCAAATTTTGTTCAAAAGGAGAATGGACATGTACTTTTTGCAACACAACTTCTCCTCCTGGGACTTTTCTGAAATGTGCTACAGGGATTCTGGTGGAATCACAAGGACTGACTTGAGTTACTACGGCCAAAGCCACTACCCTTGGTTGGATTTAAGGAGGAGATTAAGCCAGCAGGCTAGCTGTTAAAGGGCACTGTTACTAGGTGTAGATTAGGAAATGATTAGCAAGTATTTCATAACATAAAGATACACTATGGACAAAAGGACTAGGCCACCTACACATTACACCTACATGACCGGCTTAGCTAGTTTTATTGTCATACACAGTAAAGAAACATGTTTTCCTGAACAATGCGATTCTTCCTTCTGAAAAAAAATATAAAAATGATAAGAAAAATAAACCATAATTTAAAAACTATATACAACAGTTCTAAAGAAGCATACACACAATATAAATAAAATAAAAGAATCTGAGCTGCAATAAGCTACGATTTCTGTGCACTTCAGAATGCTACATCAGCTGTATGTGCCGTAGACAGAACTCTGCGATAGTAAATACTGCAGAGAGGGCAGTGGAGTCCTAATGATCTCTTTATCAGTCTTCACCACACTCTGCAGGCATTTGCAGTCCAAAGCATTGGCGTTGCCATGCCACACTATGATGTAGCTGGTCAAGAAGCTCTCAGCTATGCAGCTGCAGAAGCTGAAGAATGCCGAACTTCCACAGCTCCTGAGAAAATACAGTCACTGTTGAGCCCTCTTAACCAGCTGTGTGCTGTTAAATGTCCGGGTGAGGTCCTCACTGATGTAGACGCCCATGTATTTAAAGCTGCTCACCCTCTCCACTTAAAGCTCCCGGATGAAAACTGGCCAGTAGGGTCTCCTCTTCTTCCTCATGTCTGCTATCATGTCCTCTATCATCTCCACACTATCAGACCTCTTGATTAAGTCAGAGTTGCGTCAGCAGGAGTTCAGAATTTGGGTTGTCATATGAAACATCAACATAAGTTCAACTTCACTACAAAAAAACAACCAGAACTTTGAATCTCTAATTCTGTAACATCGGGTAAATTGGCATTAAAATAACAGAATATACAAACAACAGACTGTGACTACAGTTATGTCCAGTGTTGGTCAAGTTACTTGAAAAAAGTAATCAGTAACTACTTATCAATTACTTCCCCAAAAAGTAATCCCCTTACTTTACTGATTACTTATTTTCAAAAGTAATTAGTTACTTAGTTACTTAGTTACTTTTTAAAAACACGATTTACAACCTGAAGAGGTGATAAAGCGATAGATCTTTCAGCCCAATTCTACTTTTTCTGCATAATCCATCATACAAAATGTAATCAAATGGAAAAGTCTCTTTTTTTAACTTGTTTTATCAGTTTTAATCTTTTAACTTTATGCATCAAGCAAAAATTTCATTATATGCAACATTCTCTGACTTGAATAAATTAGTTTAACATTTAAACCTATTTTCTACACATTCCAGCACATAAAATAAAATATTTTTTGTGTTTACACTCACTCTTTCAAATAGATGCAAGTAAAACACAGCAGAAAATAAATAAAGTCAAAGACTCAGCGGTCCTGTTGCTCTATTTTCACCTGTAAAGCAGGAGTGGGGTAGGCGGAGGGTTACCCTGGTGCAGGTGTGCCGCAGCGGTCAGTGGAAGAATCCGCGAGTTTCTCTGTGAGTTTCCCATTACGTCGTAGCTACTCGGTGCTTGTTGGAAGTTTAGGGGGTTTTTTTCGCTGTAAAAAGAAGTTTTCTTCCCACACACAACAGACGATAATGTTTTTGTCACTTTTTATGGAATCAAACTCAAAGTAAGGTCAGTACTTCCACGCTTTAAACGCTGCACGCTCATACTCTCTCCCGCACTCGATACATGATCCATTGTTGATCTGCACACAGCTGTTGTTACGAACGTCACACTCGCTTACGTCACTGTCATGAGACATTCTCGCAAAAAAATCACGGTTTTAGTAACGCAGTAACGCAGCGTTCCTACGGGAAAGTAACGGTAATCTAATTACCGTTTTTGCAATAGTAATCCCTTACTTTACTCGTTACCTGAAAAAAGTAATCAGATTACAGATTACTTGTAACGCGTTACTGCCCATCTCTGGTTATTTCCTGCTAACAGTAACCTAGACGTGGTGACCGTGGTTCAGAGGGTTGGGAACTTGGGAAGCTACCACCTACTGGTGATGGTTAGAGGGACCGATGGAGCGATATGGCAGCCTTGCATCTGTCAGTCTGCCCCAGGGCAGACTTAATTTCAACATCCTGTGCTTTACACTGAGATTATTGAACACTGCAAATAGAGATCTCAGGTAGAAAGGGAGCTGAAGGGAGACAAGGAAAAGGCAGAGAAAATGCTTCCTTCTTCACGGTCAATTATTGTGGAGCTGACCTTTGCTCGACCACATCATAAAAGGCTCTGCCAGCGTGAGCCGACAATATTGGACTAGGTTGGCAGAATGGGGCCGAATGAGCTGTAGTCGGTCAGCTGTGGCTACAACTGTAGCTTCCCTCCACCAGTGTGGGAATGTGAGAGTGAATGAATAGTGGAATTGTAAAGCGCTTTGAGGGTAAATGCAGTCCATTATTAGCAGTAGTCTGTTATGTATTTACAGTACCCAAATCTCAAATCTAATATATTTGAAAATAACCTACGAATATATTGGGCATGCGGTGTATGGCACAAGTTAATTTTATCTGGATGTTTTGATAGCATAGAGTTTTACTATAACATCTTACCTTTAAAAAGAACATCTCAATCTCTGTGCTGTTATATCTCTATGGCACGGCTAGTGTATGTTGCTCACTTCCATAATTATTGCAAGGCTGATCCGCCATTGCTGTAAAAAAACAAG